TTCTATCACATCTGTATTGTGTGAGCACACATGGCACCTTAGTTCTCGCTGCCCCATCCTGCAGTGGTTCCCGACCTGGTTCTTTGTTGCCACATGCCCCAATGTCACGTGTCTGCCGATTGTAAAGCCCCTCAATCGCAGGTGGAATGTCTGCTGGGGGGGGGCGCAACTCCTAACTGGCTGCCACAGCAGATAGGTGCATTCCTCTGTTGGAATGGGACCGTCCCGTTGGATGTGGTCCTGAGTTGTAAATAAAAGCAATTCTGCGTTTGCTTCGAAGAAAGAAGAAAAAAAAAAGCAGAGAGAATTCCACGGTAATGAAGCAGCTTCACTGCAAGTACCAAAGCAGATGTCCTGGAGAGCCATGTCCACAAAAGGACAAGCCATATTCTTGGCCGAATCAATTCCACATTTTTTATCGTTTTTTTGAAGGAGTGCGGCTGTCCCCCTGGCGTTGTCAGCTTGGCTCTGTCCCCTTGGCACTATCCGCTACATAGCACAGGAGACGAGGAGTTGGGCCCAGCCTCTGAAGACGTGACCCAGAGTCTGTGTTCAGCTGGGTCTGGCCTCCCGGTGGCGGGTGCCATCCCATCCCCCGCACCCCCAACCCAATGTCCCAGACCTGCAGCGACCCCCAGACTTAAGCCAGTCAGGCCTCCCGTATCGAGTCAGAGTTTGATGTGGTAATTTTTTTATTTTTTTTGGCCAGTTGGTCATTGACCCCCAAACCTGACTCCTCCTCACCACTAGGGGTCGCTCACTCTAGACCTTGCTGAAGTGTAAGGGGCATCACAGTGCATGAGGCCACTGAAACTTGTAGGTCTCACTCCACTGGGACATGAAACCCCCTCCAGAGAATTTATTTTTTGAAGTCTGTTCTATAAAATGCTTTTCTTGTCCATCTCTGTATGCAGTGTGACATCTTTTGGGTGTAATTTGATAGATTTATTAGGTTTGTCAGGACTTTTGAAATACTTGAATGATGATAATTTTCTGTTGAATCTCTTTTGAAAACTGATTGTATAATCAAAGATTTTAAGAAATTTCTATCTAAGGTAATTTAATAGCAAGAATTATGACCCAGAGTTTTATTGGGTTAATTTCGGACTCTGAAATGGTTCATCAATGAGATTTATGGATACATTGTCTTTTTATGTATCGATAAAGGCTAATCCCATGCTGCCTAGCGGCTCTCCACTGTTTTTGTTGGTGTTTCTGTATGGTTCCCTCTGTTAACTTTGTAAATCTCTGTGGGGGTAGTAATCATGTGATGGGGGGGGCGTGTTCTTATTAGTCATTGGGGCTCCTCTGAGTTTCATGTCCTCCTTCCAGATCCACGAGAAGCTGCAGCGCTATGAAGATCGGAGTCCCACCCCAGTGCTGATCAGCGCCGGGACCCTGGCCCAGGATGTAAGCCTCACCGTGCAGCGCTTGTGAAGTTTTATGAGCTGTGTCGACCCCCACCCAAAATGACAGTCCCTCTGCACCTTAAGCATGAATCTAGGTCTTTGATCACTTACCTGCTTCACTCTCACTGTTCCAACACCCCTTTCCCTTCTCGAACAGCAATCAACCCCAACGTCATGTTCGTCTTCGTGTTAGAGCAGTGTTTCTCAGCCCAGTCTTTGAAGAACCCTGGGAAGTCCACATTTTGCTCCCTCCCAGCTCAGGTATTCGGTTTTCTTGATTGGCTGGCAGCTGGGAGGGAGCAAAGGTGTAGATTGTCGGGGGGGGTCTCCCACCGTGGTAGAGGTTCCAGATCCCAGTGCCCTAGCGATTGGGCAGTACAGGACGCCACACACGGGGTGTGAGAACACACAGGGGGAGGCAGGGAGCCAATCCGGCAGATAAAGGGGGTGGAAATGAGGCGAGCGAGGCAGGCCGCCCCCTGTCTACTCCTCGTGGACGTGTGGGTGATTTACGGCCCTGCCTTTCGGGTCTGGAGCCAGCGCCATGCCCCCGTGAAAGCCCAGCTCCAAGCCGACCGCTTAATCTCCCTGTAAGGAGAATGCTGCCCGTGTCCTTTCTTCTGATGCCGGTGCATGACGTGCGCTGTGTATCACGCACACGCACCTGTGTAAACGCACTGCGCGTCCAGATGGTGACAGGAGAACCGCCATCACTGCGGCGGCCGCCGGCGGCGCTTCCAGTGGCTGACCGACCTGTGCTTTTCATTTCAAGCTGTAATCAAAGCCCCTCAGACTGTTTCCATTTTCGCTACTTTATGAATGACGAAACCTCGGTAATTATGTCCAAATCAAAGGGGTGAGTGAGGGAGGGCCTGAGAGCTGGAGAGGGAGGGAAGAGGGGAGAATAAACAGGCAGGCGGACGGGCAGGTGAGGGTCCCGCTGGCAGGAGACACTGCAAATGAAATGGTACCCTGAGGAGATTGACACCAGGCATGACGTCACAAGTGCTGGAAGGAAATAGTGCTGCGTTATTCTGTCAATGTGGGAGATGGATGGAGAGTCACGGAGGTGTTGGCACGAGGGATGGGGGTTGTGTTTCTGTTCCTCTTTCCCATTTTTCCCCTGAAGTCAAAAATTAGTTGTTCTTGATCAGTCTGCTCTTTCAAATTATGAGCTTACATTTAGCATTTTTCCCCCATAAAGGAGTTGGATTAAAATCCCGAAGGGTGCCAAAGCTGCAGAATCGATCAATTTATTTGGAAACTTCACATGTTTTTGAGAGCAGTGCCATTTGCAGTGTAGACCTTCACCAGTGCTCCCAGTAAAACTGTTTCAGTTATTTTGGCTATTCGGCTGCCAACAGGAACTCTGGGCTCTTTGTTGCTCATTTTTAGTTTCATTTGCAGCTTATCTGGCAGGTGACATGCAGGATGTCCACAAGCCCCTCCCCCTCACAGTGAGACCCCCTCCCCCCATGTGTTCAGGGTTCACATGAAGCCTTCAGCCTTGCTCCAACATGCCTGTTCTCATTAGCAACTTGCATATTGGCCAAATACCCTCGCATCCCCCCCCCGGAGGGTCTTTCTTCAGCACCACTTGTCCAAACATCTAGGCAGGATCTAACTTTGGGGGATTTATCTGCTGGGTTTTCTGAATCGCACATCATGGATGTACCTTTAAATTTCCATTTCAGCAATACACTCCACACGCAGTCACTAACCCATGGGTGTGTTCTACAGGATTACAGGTGAACAACTATAAAAAGTTTTGACCTTTTTGGTTCTTCGCTCTGTTTTAATACCCATTTCCTCTCACCATAAATTATAGCCCTAGTTGCAGACATGGCATTAACAATCAGCATAATCAGTTCTGTTCTCCAGTATGCAATATCTCTGCCCTGGCTTGGGAGTAAGGTGCTTCTCCTACAGACATACTCTTTAGAGCAGTGTACGCCACCCTGACCACTAGATGGCTCCAGAGAGCACGGTTCCCAGGCCACGGCCAGCACTCCTCCAGTGATTGTGTGGCTGGTGATGTCAGTGAGGTGATGGCTCTGAGTGTCAGGGGTTGGGTCCTGCCAAAAGTAACGTCCTACGGAAAATTTCCCCTCTTGACTTGAATGTGTGTTTCCATCCCAAGCTCATTCAGGTTTATCAGGTTTACCTACATGACCCCGGCGTTCCACAGGAGGAAGCCGCCTGTTCCTCAGCTTTCGATCCTGAGATTCCCAGTCCTCCCCTAGCTGAAGATGGACCCCCTCACTCTGCCCCAATATGTCAGCTTTCATAGCAGAACCAAACAAAAATCCTCCATGTCTTCTGGCGTAATCAAAAGAGATGCCTATAGTTTAAACAAATCTGCCTCAGAAATGCGTATCACTGTTTTCATGACGTGATTGCTTTCGGGGCTCGTCGTAAACGTAAACTCCATCCTCAGAATTTCGGTTGTCCAAATAAACTCTCAGCTGAGGTAGACAGAACTTCTAGATTAGTTCCACATGGGGGGGGGTGTTTTTTCCCCTGTTTTTTTTTTTTTTTTTTTGGAAGGTGTGATAGTCACAACTGTTCCTCAACTGATGACATACTTTCCCACCTGCTTTCCTCTGTGGGACGACTTTATGAACTGGAGGGTGGACAGTTCTTTGTTCCCAGATGCCCCAAAGTGACCCCCGCGTGTGTCAAAAGGAACATTAGCTGAATTACGGGGCTCTTCCTGTAGGTGCAGTGTTGGACCAGTAGGGGGCATAGCATGCGTGTTTTCTGCCCCAGTTCCTTTCACTGCCACCTCCTTTCCCTTTAGATGCCCCCTCCAACTCCACCACCTCAAGCTGGTAAGAAGATTCTCTGAGGATGTGTGAATTTTCCCCCCAACCTGTTGAAAACCGACCCACACTGGCAGGGTAACGGTCTTGCTCTGATGTGGCACAAGCAGCCCTTTGTGCGGGCTGTGGACTTTGGGGGGGCAGGGGGGGTGCATCCAGGTGTGTGTATCTGTGTCTTTGTGTATGGCAGAAAAATTAAGCTGCCCCCACCCCACATGAGACCGATAGTGTGTGCTAGGCTGGGTGCCAACCCCCCCCTCCAATCAATCCTGTCTTCTCAGTTGGTCAAGGAGCTGCAGAACAAGCCCGTCGGCCTGGAGATTCAGGAGTTGCTCGGGTTACTGGACAAGCCCCATGTCAAGGTAAGCGTCTCTGTTTTACTCACACACACGTTTAAGTTTTAATGTTCTTAGTTTTTTGGGGACAGAAATGCTTTCTTACAATAAAACAGTAATATTACCTTGAGGCACTGTCTGCACACAGTCTGTTCCCGAGGGTTTGCGATCCTTGCGATTTAGGAAAATATGCACACCTGCCCAGGCTGAGTAGTCAGATGCCCGAACAGCCATTCTTCATGTAAACAGGCTTGTGCATTAGCACTCATATACACACACACACACCCCATCCACCTCACCTTCTGTGAATCCCTCTTATTGTCACTGAATTATTCTCTCCAGCACTCCATCATATTAATTCACTTCCTCTCCTCCCTGAAAGCGTCGTCCTTCCGTTGATGTGTCAAAGCGTCACACATCCGTACGAGCTCCCGAGTGCCCCCTAGTGTTCACGGCTCCCATCTCTCTTTCCACCAATGCTAGGTCTTCGGTTACCCAGATTTTTACACATGCTCTAAACTGACATGCGTTTGCTCGCAAGCCGACTGCCTGTCAAGTTTCACCCATTGCACACGTCCCCCCCCCAGACATGTATGTCCTCTCTCCCTCTCCACCCGTCCGCTCCATCTCTCCGTACGTCCTGTTATGCGAAACCCAATCCTCCATTATTCCGGCTTGGCTAGAACATCCCGAAACGTGATCCGGCTCCAAAGGGATGCGGAGCTGCCCGCCTCCGCTTTCCTGATCTTAATTTCTTCCTCCACCTGTCAGTCTTCCCACTGTCGTCGTGTTGATTTTTTTTTTCCCCCCTCAGGTTAAAATGGCAGGCTGTAGATAGAGGGGTGCAGATGACACAAGGAGTCCCCCTGGGAAGGTTTTCAGAGGGTCACGTTGAATCGCGTTGACGCATATGGGGGTTAAGCCAGAAATAATACCTTCACGGCCGGGCTTGTGCCGTCTGATGGGCGGCGGTGGGATGGGGGGTGTGGATTGGGGGGTGTGGGTTGTTGCCGTGGAGACATTAATCACGAGAGCGTTGCTAAATGGAGCCCTCCTTGGAAACGTGATTGCACGTTACGACCCGATGATCGATTGGCGTCTCTCTGATGTGGGGGGAGCCAGCGTTCCTTTACGACAGCTGGCTGCCATGTGGCCGTCGGTGTATCGACAGCGATGGATTTATTGCCACCGGATTCACGCCCAGCGGCTGAGCCCTGCCAATGGGAAGTGGCCAATGGGAAGTGGCCCACGTGCAGTTCCCCGGAGCTGAGTCGTTCTTTGGACCGCCTCGGGTGGACCCTGGAGCCACCCTCCTGGTTCTGAGTACTGGGGGGGTGCCCGGTGTGAGGTCCCGACAGCGTCTAGTACCACCATCCCGAAAGCTGAATTTTCCTGGGGATTCATGCGTCTCCCTTCGGCTCACAGGGAGGGATTTAGTTGCCAAGCAAAATAAATAAATAAATCTTGTTAGCAAAATCAGACGGTTAGAATATGATTTTCTGCTGAAAAAATGGGCATTTTGGGTTTTGGGCACATATGTGGCGATCAGGTGGAACCGTCAGACCGGCCCAGACAGGTCAGCCGACATGGCAAGCAAACTGTGAGCAGATGGTCGTCTTGAATGGGTGCTCTGTGCGATAGTAATGATATAACTCTCAATTACGGCGGAAACGATCCATTCATCCAGGTTTAAAGGTGTCCCCCCCCCCTTATGATCTGCACATGAGAAAACAAATTTCACCCATATTATCCTCCTTCGAAAGACTAACACTGGCAGTGATGAAAGTCCCCATTAGGGCAGCAGCCCCCCCCCACCCCCCCTCCGACTCATACACAGAAACAGGCTCAGGTTTATAGAACTCTTCTGGTGAGTTCTCACATCCCACAAAACATCTATGGTCAAGATTAAAAACAGGTTTGGATTTGGCGGAAAAAAAGATTACCAAGTGCCTCTAATTAGATGTTGGGCATGGGATGATCGGTGTCCATTTTCTGCGCGATTAAGAATCCACGTGTCCAAAGTACGACTCGCGGTTGGATTATTTTACAGAAGGCAGCGGCGAGCTTTGTGTGCTGAAATGCGACCCATTCGCTCCGGAGGAACGTCCCGGTAGCCGCCTTCGCCCATGTGCTGCCCATTACACCCTCCCGCCCACGTCCCCCATGCTGTGATTACCTTTCAGTGCTTGTGGTCCTGGGTTTTTACAAGCTGTTACCAGCTGGGCTGTTATTAGCCATGAGGGGATGTGGGACCGTGATGGCGAGGCTTTGTCGACAGGCACTATGAAGCCGGGATATCGGGCTAGACCGTGCTGGGGTTGGAGTAAGGTCAAAGGTCATCAGTACATATAGGAGGGAGGTGATGAAACAGGTGCTTTCCAGCCCAGAGGGAGCCTGGCTGATGGCAGAGGGTGCTGTGGGCACTTCACTTCCCTGCCAACCCCAACCTGAATGGGGAGGGGGTAGTCTGGAGGAGATCTGACTGTAGATTTGGGTGCCACCCACATGGTTGGTAAGATGAGAGAGCCGTGGCGACGGCCATCCATCCCGTGAAGCAGAGAAAGAAAAACAAGGCTTAACGTAGCACTGGGCTAAGACAGCTCTGGAAATATTTATGCTGTAACGTCATATTCAGTCCGGAAACGGGTATCACAGTCTGGAAGTCCCCCCCCCCCTCCGTTTTGGTGGTGGTGGTAGGGCCCCATTATTGGAGGGCCGACCAGTCTTAAGATGGATGGGAAACGGGTGTGTGCTCCTCGGGCCGGTTCTTCCCGGGCTCCCGGCACTCGCGTACTCAGCCCCGAGCATCTGGTCCTTCTTAGGAACATCTTGAGTGCCGCATGGCCGCGTGCTCCCAGCCCTCACTCAAACACGCGCCTCTGCTTTGTTTGCCTTTGTAATTCCCGCAAACATCTCTGGAAAGTGCGCTGGTGGGGGGGGGGGTTGCGATAGTCCATGCCGGCTGCGGTCTCGGTAATGGCCAGGCATGCAGACAGGGCTCAACTTTCACTTGAAGGGATGCTCTAGATACTGGAAGCTCGTCTCAGCCTCTGACCTGCTCCAGGTTGGGGCCTCTTGACCACCTCGTTCCCTAATGTGTTGTATAGTTCTGAAGTTGGCTTCTTGACAGATATAGGCTTGAGATGTACCATCATCTTCACTTGCCTGTCGCTTTAGACAAAAGCTTTTGCTTTATTAGGGCCCTTGATTCATGCTCCTTGAGGCCCTGAGAAAACAGGATGAATGTAGGTCCAGATACCTCTAATCATGGGGAAGACGTTACCATCTTCCTGTTATGGATGTGATGTGTTTAATTAGCGAAGACCTCCTAGGGCAGTCCAGCTTGCAGGGGGTTCTTCGATCTCTGGGGTGCTTGGGGTAGGACCGAGGGTTTTGGTAGAAGCATTGTGGGACAGGAAGGGTTGTTCTGGAGGAGAGACATAGTGACCCCTGTCCCCCCCCCCCATGGCAGAGCCTGCTGTCAGTCCATGACACAGTGGCACAGAAGAGCTACGACCCCCAGCTGCCACCCATGCCGGACGACATAGACGAGGATGAGGACTCTGTAAAGATCATCCGGCTGGTGAAGAACAAGGAGCCTTTGGTGAGTCTGGCTGGGTTCCCGGGCCTTGCAACAGTCTTGCTTATTATCATATCATATCACATCATTTTTCAGTGTCATCTGGTGTAGCCAGTCGCAGGAACCTTCCCATGGGGATTCCTCACTTTTTCTTGAGTGTTTCTCTCCCACCCTTACAAAGACAACCAGTGGTTTGCCCATTCTTGTGTTCCTAAGTCAGTTTGATAGGAACTTTTACAGTCTAATGGCTTGTAATTTAATGCCTGTCGTTGTTTGTACCAGTTCATGGTTTTCCTGAAGTATCCCCTCTGAGATGTGGTACCTCAGATCCGGGCTCCACCCAGGTTCTTAGCCCACAGACGCAAACAGCCGTATCGGGATCTGCTGCGATTGACCCCTGTTAAAGCCTTGCGCTGTCCTTCAGCTGTAGTAAAAGTTAGTCATGTTATTGGGCCTTGCAACGCTTTCAAAACACAGTCACTATGTCCAAAGTGATTACGGGGCTCAAAGGTTAATGCTTGAGGGGGGCGGGGGGGCAGGTGATGGCCGTGTCTCTCTCTAAGGCCCCTGTGGTCAATAAGGCGGCCGTGCCACCCAAACAGACGGGGAGCTGGAAGCCACGGCCCAACATAACGCAGCCTCTCTAATTGTGGGGCAACTAACGACTGGGAAGATTCCTGTGTCTGGCTCTCCCATCACGTGAGTGCAAACAAAGCAGTAAATTCCAGAAAAACCTCGCTGAGGGCTCCCTGGCACCATGACGTTCTGCATGTGGTCAGGGACGGACCAGCACCTCGGGAAACTGGGAAGTCTGGGGCCTCCCTTCCCGTCACGACCCAACATTCCGCCGTCTGTCGGCGTTTGTCAACTGTGTGTTGCACGACTACCCCAGGTCCTCAGGACAGCCCCACAGCGGAATGTCCACCTCGGATGATCTGACCTCACTATGCCTCTGAATCCTGCCGCCGAGGGCCGGCCTGTTCATGTCCAGTCTGGGAAAATAATGGAAACATTAGACTGTCAATGCAGCTCTGAAGTCGGAGTCAAAGTTCCCGCTGGTGTTTTCACGGAGTCTCCCTGCTGTAGCCCCTGATGGAGCACACTTCTCTCTCGCTGACGGAAAAATTAGTCTTGATGTGCCCTTTAACTCACAATTCACCTCAATCAGTCTGAGATTTTCGAAGTTGACATCATAACGAGCCCACAATAGCAAAACGCCGTAATTTTTATTTTTCTTTTCCACTCAGAGGGTATAGCCTTGGATATTTTGGCTCTGTCTTTAGTGCGGGGGAGGGGGTGGGAGGGGAGCCTCACCGTGACTCATCCATTACCTTAATGGTGATTGGTCAAGCGGGCCTTGCTCAGTAGCGCTGATTAATTGCTGTCGTTTTTTAGGCCACGATTCCTAGCCGTATGTCTGTGATCCGAAAAAGCTTTAAGCTCCGTGATCTTTCCCCCAAGTCCTGCTCTCCTGCCTGAAAGCAGAATCGCGTCATTTATTAGCTCGGATGTCAGTGAAATTATATAATTACGTTTTGGGTTCAGAGCAAGGGGCCGTGTATTTTTATTAATGAAATATTGCTGGGGTTTGGCTAAGGATGGATAGAGGTAGCGATTCTTCCCTGTCGGGCTGCTAAGGCTGACTTATCACTTTTGTTAGATACGGGATTATCAGTCTAACCCCAAAGGGGAAAAACTGAGATGGGACTGATGTGACATGTTTTTAGGACATGTTGTGTTGACAAAACGATGGTGGTTATGATTTAAAGGTGTGGAGTTTTACACGCTGCCCAGGATCGCCTGTATCTGTGTATGATGTATGTGTATCGCATTTCTCGCTGTGGATAGACCGAGTGAACAGCGGCACGTGTGACCACATCCTGCCTAAATAAAGTGTGCTGTTAGCCGGGCCGGCTAACGCTTTACAACATTGCAGTGGAAATAGCCTCAGTCCAGCACCGGTTCTTGGATGGGAGCATAAGAGGGGTCATAATTTATGTTGAGGGGCCAACTTTATCATTAGCCAATGATACTTTTTGAATTAGTGATAAGGAAGGGGGCTCTCCGGAGGCCAATCAGGTGTGGTCAGAATCAGAAAGGTCTGTAATGGCTAAGTGTAGGGCTTTGTTTTGGTTGGTGTACCTCAGTATAACACAACATGTAAGACAATTTTAAGGCGACAGATATGTACAAATGAAATTTTGCGCATATTTTTACACTCACATACATTGTCCACCTACTAGCAGAAGCAGCATGGGATTGAATAAGGGGTGAAATAAATAAATTAGGGATGTTAGTATACAGGAGTGATGCTTGGAAGTGTTGTAGGATCACATGACTAAAGTGTCTTTGGAGGGAAGAGCCTTCGATGCCCTTAGGAACTGCCCTCTCCACGCTGGAATTGTGGCGAGGAGCTCTGTCTGCCACCCGATGGCGGGTTTTTGAACAACACTTAAGTTATTATTGATTTCTTGCGTGAGTGTTTGACCCTGGAAGAGATGCGATGACATTTTCGGGATCTGGGCACTTCGCCCGGACCTTGCCCATCATCTGCGGCATGCTCGTGGGGCAGTTGCCTGGCTGTTGGTATGACGCCTAGTTTGGGTGTGCGGAGCCTTCCGGAAAAGCGCCAGACGACAGGATAAGTGGGCCGAGGACTGGTTTGTGTTGACAGTAAGCAGGGTACTGGTTTTGTTTGACTGGGGGGACTAGGGGAATTGGCACTGACTGAACTCAGCAGGCTGGGAGTTTAGGTGTATGGAAAACTCTATTGTCATTTGCCCTTGCGCTCACAAACACCCCCCCCCTCCCAGGCACCCACAAATTCTCAGGCCTGTGATCGTTATTTCCTATTGTGATCCTGATTGGCTGAGATGGATGTTTTTGACGTGGACACGTCACCATCTTGGGGACTTATTGGTGACGGCTGTTGCGGGGCACGTGAAGCACACACGTGCTTGCAGGAATCCCCATCTCATGCCGGCAAGGCGTGCAGCCAGATATGTTTTTACAAGCGCCACGCGATCACCGGACTTCTGCAAAGCCCCCGCGGCGACCAGAGAAATTAATCGGGGACTCCACTCTCTCGTCCCTGCTTTTTATTACCAGTACCTGGCAGCCTTTCGCACGAATTTCCTCATAATTATCATGATAATGAGCTGCAATTTTCTTTTTTATCATAATACTTGTTAATTATAGCCAAGGTTAGAACTCAGGTTATGGAAATAGTGGGGAAACTCTAGAAGAGATTTTATTAGTTGTAATATATAGTTGTTTAATAAAACAGGTTGTTGGTGGGGCGAGGGGGTCAGGCTACATGTCAGCCGTCCATAACGACACCCCCATGGAATGAACTTATAAAAATCATTTAGCTGAAAACGCTCTGCTTTCTGCTCCATGATTCTCTCCTAGCAGAGATAATCACGCCTCTCCAGCTGTCCGCTCCCTAAGGTTCCCCATATGCAGCCTTGGGTTTTTCACCTATGGAATTTCAGGATATCCTAAAATAATAACTTAAAAATGTGATGGCTCATTTTATAGTCATTTTTTGTTATTGGCCCAACATTCAGTAACTTAGGTAGGTGTAAATGAAGATGCATTTGTGGGCAATTTTTTATTTTGGGGTTTCAGGGCATTTTTGTCCTCCCATTAAGAACATCTGGGTAGAAGAATGTTGGAGTGAATTTGCTCCTCCTTTCGGAAAGCTTATCACCACCATGACACTTCACCACTAAATATTTGTGACAAAACAAGTGCTGTTCAGGCTGTTGTCTTTGCCTTCCTCAGTCCAGAGGGAAGAATGTTCATGTGACGTCCCCACATACAGTACACTGCCCCCTGCTGGTATGGGAACGGGCTCCGCCGGGTCAGTCTCCATGCTCTGGAGCAGTCTGATCAGTTATGGACCAGCCAGTAAGAGTCCAGTGTCAGGTGTGAGGGACTCAGGTCTTGTTTCATACAGGAGACTGAGGCTGTTGAATTTGCAGAGTCTGTCCTGATTTTCCTCTACCTGTGTGAGCGTTTATGTGTTTTCCTCTCCACTTTTGGACCATCTTTGGGGGAAAAATCTGCTGTTGGATAATAAAACTCGAAAACAATTTGTTGGAACATCCGCACTAGGTTTTTTTGTTGTTTAAATAGGGTAGTCATTTTTAAGGCGGAAAATGGTGAGGATGTGAGAGGCCAGAAAGATCTGTCTGTCGTGTGTATTTATACACACATACATAGACATCTTGTATCTGCAGGGACAGATAAGTTACAGGATTGCTCGTCCAGACACTCGTCACGGGATGCACACAGACTCAACCACCTCCTCTTGCTCCCTGCTCTCTCAGTTCAGTCAGAAAATATGAGAAGTGTCAGCCATTTGTCATTGAGCACTTATGTGCCACGTCCCCTCCCACTGTACCTGTAGCATTTCCACAGAACTGCGATCTGATAAAGATGAATGTTGCTCTGATTCTCAATCGCACTGAGGAGATTAAGATATTGAATTTTGGCCGGGCCTAAAATAACAATCAGAAGCCTTTATGTGCTCTTCAACACAGTTACGGTTCTCCAAGTGCTACGTACATATGGACCTGATCATGCTGCCCCAGATAGCATTACGGATGAGTAATTGAATTCTGTGCTTAAAAGTACTCTTAAAGTACTCTTCCATAAAGAGGGTTGTTTGTTCTCTATTGGTTTTTGAGAACCTGGTGGTTTTATGTGATGTGTATTTTTAGGATCACTTTGGAGCTAGAACTCCGTAGTTCCTGGTGGGGAAACAAAGGTTTTCACTCCCCTCCCCTCCTGTTTGCATGTCTTCATGAGAACCATGGGGCAAACTGGCCTCTTAGAGAAACAACTACGCTTGTAATTATGAGCCTACTATGACTCGTGGCTGGGACTCGCATTTGTCAAATGTCGGTCATGTACTAGAAGTTTCATTTCGGCTACCACCAAGTTCATCAAGAGCATCAGTGTTGTTTGGCCTGCCGTGCTTCATTTGGTCTACAACACCCCACTTAGGCAAAGGATGCTCAAGTGGTCTGTCAAGGTAGTTGCTGGTCACCCATGCTACCCAACCCTCCCCTCATGTGTTTTGGGGCAGAAAACTGCTTCCAGGTACCCTCAAGTGGTAAGAGATGGCTGTCAACCAAATCTGGGTGCCAGTGAGCACTGCAAGTTGGCCCTTGTTGCCCCACCCCCCACGCCCCAAGAGCTGGTGGGGACCAAGGATTTTACTTCCCTCCTGTTTTGGTCAAGCGACATTAAGTTTCCTGTTGCTTGGAGTCAATAGCACAACCTTGGCTTTGGTTGGAAATAGAAGGGGGAGGGGGTTGTGTGGGAGTCGGAAATCCACACCTACCTGTATTTCCAAGGAGCTGGACATTTGTGTGAGAGAGAGAGAGGGAGAGAGACCTCCAGAAAGCTGATTTGTGCCTGGGGAGTAGTGCGAGATGTGTTAGAGTTTCCCCACGTGGGCAACTTGAGGTTTAATGATGTAGTGACAACATACACCAGGTCAAGAGTTGGGGGGGGGGGGGTGGCTCCAGGGGGGGTGGTTTCTGAAACTGGGTCTGATTGATTGGGTGGCAGGAAGACTGATTGAGCAAGAGGGATATGAAGTCCTCGTTACTTCAACAGCTTCTGTTGAGTGCAGGCAGGGGTTTCCTGCCCTACCAGTCATCACCTCTTAATTCTTGGAGCCGACGGCTGGGGTCTGGGGGGACTGGTTGCTCACGGTTGAGGAGCTACTCCTGGCCGTAGGATCCCAGATTCTGAATCTGGATGTGTGATTTGAGTGCCAGCCCATCATACCTCTCAGCCGACTCCCAGGAGTGTAGCCAGATCCTGCTCCTCTGAGACCGCCAACGTGCCAAGAGCTTTTGAGAAGTCTCCCTCATTGTTTACTCTTCCTGTATCGCTTTACACCCCCCATTACTTCTCTGCAGTCTTAATTGGGGCAGCTTGATTCCAAATTGCCTTGCTGTTTCTATCTCCTTTTAATCATGGCCTGATGCCCCAGTTAGGGGGGGGCACCATTGTTTATGGGTTTTTCAGGCAGGCCAGTGTGACCAGCCTTCATCCAATACTCCCTTCCAGGGAAAGGTGACTGTTTGACTATTGCTGAGGGGGGGGGGGGGGTCTCCTAAACCACACTCTGCCCCCCAGCTGCATGCAGTGGTGTATTTATTTCTCTCTTCTCTTTGCTTTCAGCTGATTAATTTAATCCTCGTCTTCTGATGGCTCTCCATTTTGACCTGGCCAGCTGCTTGAAGTTATCTTTAGAGTCTGAGCCCAAAGGGGAGGTCTGACAGGTGCCCCCTCCCGCTTGATTCCCCCTCCCCCCCCAGCGGAGGTCTTGCCCTCCTCATTCACCCTAATAACTCAATTAGCTGCAGTTCCCGCCTCTTTGTCCCCGAGCCAAGCGGTCGCTGAGCTTTCCATCAGAAGCTTCTCTTTAATTTGTCACCCGTTTAAAAAGACCTTGAGGCAAGTGATTAGATGTGACCAACAGGGAGTTTAATGATATCAATTAAGTCGTTTTAGCTCTGTCTGTCTGAGACTCTACATAAACCAGGTAGCCATCCCCCCCTCCTCCCCAAGGCCTCTGTTTTGGCTCTGCTGATTCACAGGCTTGGCAGGTGAACCTTCCAGAATGGTTGATAGCTTGGCTGCATGACGCAAGCCGCCGGAGGTGAAATGAAGTCACACTGTTATTAGTCTCTTGTCTGCGGCTCCATCCTTGTTCATACTTCATCACCTTCTTGATTGTTCAAAAGCTCCGTTAGGCTGTCGTGTTGGGGGAGGAGGCTAGATCCTTTTCCAGCCACTGTCTAAATGTTTCTTTATCCATCTGTCAAATTGATTGGCTCATGATGAGCATGATTTCTCAGGTCTTTGTGCCTTGTGCTTCCTGGCTTGAAGGTCATGGTAACTTTTTAAATTGTAAGCTGTGATGTCAGTGTGTTTCCCCCCCTCCCTCTCTTCTTGCCCCAGGGGGCCACAATAAAAAGGGACGAGTGCACAGGAGCCATTGTCGTAGCCCGGATAATGAGGGGCGGCGCAGCTGACAGAAGTGGTAAGTAAACCCTGAAGAGAGAGTTAAGGGTCTTCAGATTGATTCATTTCTCCTAACCAGCTTTATGTTTGTGGTAAAATCATACAGATCTTCTATGTTGTCCTGTTTCTATCTCATCTGTGTTCACTGACTCTGCTTCCCGGTTGTCCCTGCCAAAAAGGTCTGATCCACGTAGGGGATGAGCTCAAGGAAGTCAATGGAATTCCGGTGGACGACAAGAAGCCGGAGGAGATCATCCACATTCTGGTACACACCCATGGTTCAGGGAAGCAGTCTCCCTGCTTCTCGTCTTTTCTCCATGTGGTCTTCCTACGTCCAAATTCCCTTTGACCAGAGTAGTCCTGCCCTGATAACTGCTGGTGAAAAACAACATTGCTTTTTATGGGTCTCTCTTGTTGATATTTATGCCAAATCAGGGAGAATTAATCATAGCTCTTCTTTCCCTCTGTCCCCCCACCCCCACTTTTAGGCTCAGTCCCAGGGGGCCATCACTTTCAAAATAATACCAGGCATCAAGGAGGACGCCCAGGACCGGCAGCCTAAGGTGAGTCCTGCTGCAGAGATTATATTGATTGTGTTACACACGCATGTGCTTCTTATTGGCTGGAATGCAGGTTACTCTCCTACTCACTAGTCCCGGGGCCCCAACTGCGAATAGGCTGCCTTATTTCCTGGGGAAAGTGATCCTATCCCCCCCCCCCCCCCCCCCCCCCCCCCTTCGGCC